CATACTTGTCTTGAGAGCTTCCTATTTCAAACCTGTAGCTTTGTGATTCTCAAAGCTTGTTTGTATTTACTCCAGCTAAACATGTTCATCCATTAAGGCTTAATATCTGTCTACAAAACTGCTGTCATTCTAACTTGGAAGTATGTCAGAAATGTTCTCAGAGTGATGTTACAGAGGGCACCGAACACAACAAAACTATTTTATTTTTCTTTTTTTTTTTATGTGAAAAACCAAAACTAGTCACACTGGTTGAGTTCCTCTGCCTGGAGCACTTTCATTGATATTCACAGCATTTCATAGTCAAGGGGTCTGGGGAGTTTAGTCTTCTATTTTTGGGAGTAAATTCTGCTGAGAACTAACATTGTTTAAACTAGCTTAGTCTAATTATTTTGCATTTATCTAAGAGGCCAATAAACAAGTTACTGCCAGAGCAGAAAGAAGCCATTTGTTGGTGTCCCACTGATGAATGCAGTAGGTGGGTTTGTGGAAAGCTCTCCCTATGCTGAGGGTTGCACTGGAGCTGGGGGCTGGAGTTGGGTTATGGTGCAGGACAAGCTGCTCAGTAGTTGCAGGGAGGTGTGAACAAACTCCCTGCTGTCCAGGGCAGGTGTTGAAACCCCAATCTGTGTGAATGTGCAGAATGCTGCAGAATGTGCCTTTATTATCTGTGCCAAGCTTAACTGTATTGATCTTGTCAATACAGTTCAGTCTGAATGTTCCCACTTCCTAGCCTTGTTATAGCAGAGTTGTAGAAAGCAAAAATGTTTCAGCCTTCTAAAGGGATAAAACAATCTGTGCTTCACTTAGCTTTACTATGAGTATTTTTTTCCTTACTGAAGAGTAGTGGTTTAATGCTTCTGCCACCTCTAGGGAAAGGGACTGTATTTGGACATAGTGATAGTGTTATTTTGACAGCACTTTTATGTTGGATCAGTATCACTGTGAATGTGGCTTGCCATCTCCCTGCAGGTTACAGCTGGTAGCAGATACTGCCTGACAGGATTTCTGTGTCTTTGGTTTTATGCTGGGCAATCCATCTCTCCTGCAGACCCACTAGAAACTGCAGCTTAGCTGCCTGGTGCTCCTGGGTCCCAGCAGACACTTGAGTTTCTTGGTTCACACCATTCAGATACTGCCTGACAGGATTTCTTTGTCTTTGGTTTTATGCTGGGCAATCCATCTCTCCTGCAGACCCACTAGAAACTGCAGCTTTGCTGCCTGGTGCTCCTGGGTCCTGGCAGACACTTGAGTTTCCTGGTTCACACCATTTCATTATGATGCAAAGACTAACCACTTCCTTCTCTCATTACTAATTATGGGCCAAACTGAATATTGCTCAGGGTAGCAGCATTCTGCCATATGATTATTTGCAAACTGCTGAACTGATCTGAGTGTAAAGTGTTTTTAAAATGACATTGAGGTTGTCAGCGTATGTTGACAAATAAGGAGGAAAAAAGAAGCTTCATACTCTAGTTATTGGGGGAAAAAATTAGAGAAGAAAAGACAGCATTACTTTTGAAATACCTGGAATATCAGTTGTGGTAATACCCAGTCAGCTTTAGTCCTGTTTTAATGGCAATACCAACTTCTTTCTCTCTGTACTTTTGGGCTCTCCAATTATGCACAAATGTTCTCCCAGAGGTTTTTGGCCAAGAGAAGAGCATAACGAGCACATCTGTATAAATGAGTTGATCATCAGCTATGAATGAATTTGAAATTATCTTTCACATAGGAAACTTTCTGAAAGTTGAAAGAGTGAAAGATATCCAGGAGATTCAGTCTTCTTTTAATTAAAAACAAATTATTAAAGCTACATACAAGTCATAGCTGTAAAGTAATTTGTAATATCAAGGGTAGTAACATATGACTGGTTCTGGAAAAGGTGGTATATTCTTTCTTGGTTGATACATGGGTATAACAAGATTATCTAGAGTTTCATTAAGAGACCTAGAAGTGTAAAGAACCAACTGTCTCCTGACATTGGTAATATCTTTGTGATGCAATAAATTGCCTGACAGAAACCCAAGGGAAAAGGGAATGTGTCCCTGTAAATTGGTATGGATTTAACACAGCTTTTCTGGCTTCTTCACCAAGTGGATCCAACTTGAAATCACCTCCTAAAGAAGAAAACCACAACTTACAAAATATTTTCAAGTAAATTTGTTTGTCATTTACATTTATACTTCTCATCCTAGCATCTAGATTCTTTTGTGTCCTTCCTCACAGTAGTGGGACCCAGTGTGGCTCTGCCATGGTTAGCTGTGTCATCTGAGATGGATTCAGCTTTGATTTGGGCTTGAAACAGAGCAAGAAGCGGATGCAGCAGTGCAGAGGGTTCTGCAGGCAGTAGCAAGGCCTATTAGCTGGTACTTTACTGTCTAGTGTAGGTCTAGGATTGAGACAAAGAAAAAAGTCTTTTGTTGGAAGAAATTTCCAGCTGGAACCTCCCAGTTCTTGGCCTATCTTCCTTGGAGGAAGGTGAAACCAACCAGGCTGTGGTGCTGGAAATGTTATTTTCCTTGGTCAGTTTGATGCTTTTGCTCTACAACTCCCATCCCCAACCCTAGAGAGGCTGTTGAAAAGTTGGGAGGGGAGAAGCAGCAGTTTTCAGCCTTTTTCTGAAAGCAGCTTGCATAGGAGATGCAAAAAACTTGAGCCCTGAACTTCTTGGCTTGCCTGCAGCAAAAAAAAATTATAAAAATTTATTCTCTGTGAGGCAGTGAAATGGTATTATCTGTGTTCTGCTGGGGAAGAGGCGGGTAACACAGAAAAAAATCCCAAAGAAACTTAGGGCCCAAGCACAAAAAAATGTATTTGCTATTTTGAAAGCAGAAGGAAGTCCTAATACCTTTGTGGACTGAAACTTAGCAGGTTTTCTTGTGGTTGTGTGCTGGTGCATGTGGGATGGCCCTGAATGCTGCTCTCCCAAGCATAGTCTTACCTCCCAAGACATCCTCTGTTCCTAGTTGTGCCTTTCCAACTGCCTCAGCAGTGCAGAGCTTAAAAGTGTTAATGTTGATGGAACCTGGACTGTTTCTGCCTTAGGAAGAACTCATTTCAAAGTGCAAGTGCTTTTGGAGAGACTGCAATAGGTAAAACTTGGCAGTTACCAAAATCCAGGTCATTGATGTTGCAACAAAATACAATCTCCCTGTGGACCACCAGCTCTACAGCATTCCAATCTCTATCTCTTCCACAATAAAGTGATGTCCATCTGCCTGCAGGACAGCTGGAAAAGGGCAAAGCAGCAGTGTCCAGTACTGCATTTGACTGGTTCCTGTGAACTTCGAGTGTATCTAAGTTTTAGCACTTATGAGGGCAAGGAACAAAACTAGTATTAATGTAGTTAAGTGGCACAGAAAAAGTCCCCACAAACCCTATCAGCTTTAATCTCTACCTTCAGTATTATTTTGTTAATGGATCTCCTTTGAGTGAAGCCTCCATCCTCTGTCATTTCTAGTTCCAGTGGTAAAAGGCAAGAAATTAATTTCCTACTTGTATTTGCTCTGAACTGGCACAGCAGCTGTAAGAAACAATGTTTTTATTTGTAAGTACCATGGAATAAGAATAAATTCAAAAGAAATCTACAATAAGCATTAAGATGGTGTTATAGAACAGCTGGAACATTAAGTGAACAACCTTGATAACCTAATTGTTCATTGACGCGTAATTCCTTTTGCTTCTACTGAAAGAGTAATTCCTCAGCACATTAAAGACCTGAGATTTTTGTGAAGGTGTGAATCAAACCAGAAGGGATAAAATAATATCTTGACCCATATTTTTTTAGACTAATTAGGTGCTTTTTGGATTTATTATGGTTCATTGTATAATGTTGTAAATTAATCAGAACTGGGGAAATACAGGAAATGGCTAATAATGCAGTTCCAGCAACACACAAATGCCACATACTTCTGCCTGGGCCCCCATAGATTTAAGTTAGTTTTAATTCAGTTGGTTTTTTAAATCATTAATTTCTACTGACCTGTTTCACAAGGCAGAAGCAGATTCTTGCATAGTCAAACATTCAGGGTCTTGCCTTTCCAGGCTTCAAGACTATACTGACCAACACACATCAGTTATTTTGGCAGAGGGAGGAATTGCTTTCTCTATCCTGGTTCCACTGTAGCTGTATGACTTGCCAAGGCCTTGTGTTTCTCAAGCATTTAACTGAACTGTGTTCACCTGTGACACCTGTTCACAGTCTTTTAATTCAGCTTGCTGAAAAACTAGGAAAAGTGGCTGAGGAATGAGTCTGGTTCATAAAGCAGCCTGATTTCAGCTTCTGCTGCTGCTTTGTCATCCTCACCAGGCAGCTCTTGCTGCTTTCTAGCAAGCTTTAATAGCAATCTCTGACAATTAACTCACACTTGTAAAATGGAAGAGACAGATGACATCTCTATACTGTGGGCTCTAAATAGAAGGAAAAAATCCCACCTTACTAGTTTCTAGCTTAGGGCCTGGTCCCTCTCAGTCCGTCTCAGGTACATTGCAATGATCTACCAGCCCCAATGAGAGATTTGGAATCAGTTGCCAATAGCTCATATACTGCATTAACTAATGTTCTTTCTAAGTTATTTGAGGAGAGATTTGGAATCAGTTGCCAATAGCCCATATAGTGCATTAACTCATGTTCTTTCTAAGTTTTTTGAGTTTCTTTCTTTTTTTTTTTTTTTTAGGTGCCTCTATGTGATCTAAAGCCTTTATAATGACAAAGCTTGGCTTATTTGAATACTTGAGATCACACACATGCGATTTGATTTGTCTTGCAACCTTAGATGAATTTTGCTAGGCAGAACTTTTTATCATGTATCCTCTTACAGCTGGAAGTCATCAGAGCAGAGGAAAAGTGTGGCTCATTCCCTAATAAACAGGAAATAGACTACACCAGTCCTTAATGAGATGCATGAGAAAAAAATAACTACACCCTGGTCTGTGGGTTATATGTTCTGGAACTTCAGGTGTGGATAGTAAAGTTCTGCAGCAGTTGCTGCCCTGGGGATGCCCCAGCTCTGCTCTCCTGCTCCAGCTGCCGTGGAGGTGTGCCCAGCCCTGCAGCAGTGCCAGAGGGATGTGGGCTCTGAGCCTGGCTCCAAAGGGTGGCACAGCTGCCCTTTGTGTGAGTTGCTGGAAATCACAGCTCAGCTGTAAGCAATAAACGTTAGTCTGTACTCCCAAGCACTTTGCTTTAGAGTTTGGGCTTAAGCGTTTTCATCTTTGGTTTACGAGTTTATTTCAGACTGTTTTTAATGAGGTGGTGTCATGAAAAGAAAAATATATATCCACACTGTAATGCAAGGTTATTTTAGCAAACACAAGTGATGGAGTTGTGCTCTCTGAGGTGTCTCTGCCAGCTGTGTGACACCGAGAGCCCTCGGCAGGGCCAGGGCCAGTGGGAATGGTGTGAAGCTGTGTCGGGGCAGGTTTGGGGAAGGACTCTTCACCCGGGGGGGCTGAGCACTGAACAGCTCCCCAGGGCAAGGCACCAAGCCTGACCCAGACCAAGAAGTGTTTGGACAATGCTCTCAGGCACACGGTGTGGTTTTTGGGGTTGTCCCGTGCACGGCCAGGAGCTGGATGCGATGATGCCTGTGGGTCCCTCCCAACTCGTGCTGCTCCATGATCCT